AATTAAATCAGGCTTGTCAGGACATACACGTAGAGGAATCCACCTCTAAGGGAGTAAACACGAATGAAGAATAATAGCAGCGTCCTCACGACTGAACTGTATGCCATCTCCGCAGCCCTTGACCATTTCGATCCTGCTTTAATTTTTTTTTCAGAAGTTCCAGTAGACCGAGAAGACGCTTCACTTCACCAGGACGCCGTCTCAGTGTGGCATAAAAAGCAATGTTAACGTTGATCTTGCCGCCAAAGATGCGATAAACAGTCCTAGCACCATAGTACACACTGGTGATGCCAAGATCATGTTCAGGCAGAAATTGTATCATTGGTGAGAACTTTCATGGACCGCTACCACTGCAAAGCTCTGGCCGATAAAACCCGATGTCCGGCCCTGGACACGACATCTGAGGAGGTCACCTCGAATCGCTTCCGCCTGGGCCACAGTCGAGCTACATTGTAGGTCAATTCTGCCCCACCTGTCAGACACCAGTAACAGTACATCATATTCTCCTGGACTGTCGTGCCTTTATCACACAAAGACAGAACAGCGGACTGGGATCATCACTTGCTGAAGAACTAGACAACACTTCAAACAATAGGAAGAAGGTGTACCATAATTCACATTCTCCTTTACTTATTTATTCTTTTAAGGGTGAATTCCTGCATTCCGGCCTTTGGATGCAATATTATTGGTCAGGAGTTTGTGTACTTATTTAGCTTTTATTTTCGAGTGGGCGGAGTTTCAGTCAAGATTGCTCTGCCAACCCAACCCACGATTACAAATAGCCTTGCCCGAACCCGGGCTCCAACCAGGGACCCTTAGTGCCGTAGCCGAGACCCAACTGCGGCTCGAATAAAATATTCGACTAAGAGAAAGTTATGGAATTCTTTTGGTTCCCTACGGTTGGGCCGAAATACGCACTCTAAGACAGGGAAACGGAATTTCCTCTAGACATTAATTCATGTACCAAAAGCGGTGTAAAAATAAGGGAAATTTGGTAATAATCCTTATATTTTTTCTTTTTCGTGAAAAAAGAGGAAATGTAATGATCTACTTCAAAAGCTTGGTCAAGAATCTTGATATTTCATTTTCCAAAATTGACAATTTTTACGATCATTCCACTTCAAATTTCAGAGAAAATTCCGTTTTTCTGTTTGGTGCCTCCTAGCGGTGATTTTATAAAAGTAGACATAATTTCCATCATTTTAGGATATTCACGTTCTTATTTCATATTTGACCACCGGACGCATGTGTTCTTCTATTCTCGCCAATTTGGATCACACACGACAAATTCCACCCCCGGTCACTAAAAACCTTTTCTTCGTTCTCCTGAACGACATTACAGTTCTGCTGCTCCCTACAACTGATTGCGTTTCCATATCTAAAGAATAGGCGGATACGGGGAAATAGTGGAAGTTAAATATTGTAACGTGATTTATAAATTCGGGTTCGATTTATATCAATATTTATTAAACAAAACTAAAACACTATAAAAACTGTACAATTTATATCAACTATTTATATTACACACTTCGCAATTTATATCAGATTTTCACGCTCAATGTTTCGTCCGTACTCGATCTCGTTCGGTAATAAACTGCCTGCGATGTTCGGTCCGCAACCATTTATACACGCAAGCAATGTAAGTCTAGAACACTCGCGTAATTACCAGATACGTCGCAAACATTCCCACTATCGCGCGCCTAGAAAATTCCAGAGCGCCAAAGGCGACGTCACGTCTGGAGCGTTTCCGTTACAATATGAAATCCCTCACAAATACTATACTATTGACATCTCCCATCTTAGAGAAGGTGGCGTCCAAAATTATAACATATTGTCAATGATAGAACAACCTCTATTTCCGCCGAGAGAATATGACTCGGTTCCGCGGTTTCAATCAACAAAGCTTATTTCAACAGGTAAAGAAAGTATAACTGAGAAAAGTAGAAAACAAAAATAGTAAAACTCGAGGATACCTATAAATTTCTATTTACGTTTAAATTTACTCCCCCTTCAGTAAAAAAACTAATCACAATTAACACTCATTGAGACTAATTACATTATGGAAATTATGTCTTGAACGGACCTTAGAGGTGAAAGGGGCGATCTTAAAAAAATTACGGGAATATCGTCGGAGAAATGAAATTCCTTAAATTTTTAAGGATCGCTGTCACTTAAAAAATTACAATCTATTTAGTTGAATATTATTAATTATAAAAAGTGCTTTTGTAAACTGTAACACTGTATGAATCGTTTAATGTTATCCTTGTCATTAACACAGGACTGTACGCTATTAATTACATTAAACATTGCTTTCAAATTAAGTTTTCCATGTAAAATTAAACGTAGGGCTGTACGTATGTTAATAGAAGGTTAATCTGTGTGTTACGAACACACCAAAATTTGCCTTGAACATTTTCGACGAAAATATGTAAGCTTTTTGGATATTACGAATTTATTAATCTACTACCGACACAGTAGGTTTCCGAAAGACTACCTCGCCGTGGGTCTTAATTAATTCTAAATTGACATTTACATTTACTGTCCCTTAAACAGCTATATTTCTTGCTTTATGGAGGATTTGTTACCTCAGAAATTTTTCGTCGATTTAACGATTTTTTATTTATAGGGAAAAGGTAGCACGAGCATATTTTTGTGTGCCTTAATTTTTATTCGGTTTGTTTCCGCATGGACGTACACGCAAACCCAGGAGCTCTAAAAGTGTGCTTCCTAATATCTTCAAGAAAAAGCACAGTAGCGATTCTAACAGCAAAAATTACCCAATGTAATCGTTAGCTAAATAAATAAATAAACAAAGAGAAGTGTCACGTGGTGAGATTAAAACTTCAAGGCCGAATGCGTGACATAATTTTTGTTTAGAAAACTCCTCGATGGGTCCATATGTTTTCAACAGTTTACCTGTTATAAGTATTTAAATGTATTGCGAATGTCAATACGAAAATACACCTTGCGTTTTAAAATAACTGCACTCGATCGTGATTTTCGTAAGAAAACTCCATAAGACTAGCGCAAGTGTGGCACACTGAGGTAATTCATACACCTCTCTTTATTTTGCATTATTCAGCGTCATGAGTGGTGGTACCGTGTACAAGAGCAGAGAGACCGCTACCCGAAATAACACTTCATAAATTTCTTGGAAATTAGATTCATAAGTCAATATTCTTTTAATCAAGCAGTCAGCATACTTGCCCAATGTCTAGCCTAAGTTTGGACGGCCCATCGACTACACAAAAGCTATTCCATTAATAATTAGAATTGAGTTAAGTTGTGGGCTGGAAAGTGCACTTGATGTACACTGTGCTTTTTTAGAATCTGCTTTACTAATGGAGCCTTTATTCCTTACCTTAGCGCCCCGCTCATGAAAGCTAATGAAGTAGGGACTTTACAGAGCCCATGATTTTTGAATTTTTCTTAAATCAATGTGTCTGCCTCCTCAAAACCTTCTATTATCTTTGGTGTAGACGATGCATTTACATGTCCAAGATTTATGTTTCCATAACCCGCATGATTACATCTTCATCTTGAATATCCCTGTTTCTTCTTAACCGTGTCGCTTCTTTTGGACATACCCTCTGTGGTGCCTCTTTGAACATAGCATATGTTTTCTCCGAAATATCACTTCAAGAGAGATGGACCAACACTGTAGTGTTCTGGCGTCCTGCGCTAAGAATCCCACCAGAACTGACTTTACAAGTACCAACAGCCCATTCCTGAGCATGATCAGGATCAACTTGACAAAACATCTTTTTGGTCAAAGCTGCAGAGTCACCTGAACGAAAGTCAGCTTCGACTTCAGACGGAAACTGATGCATGTGTACAATGTAGACGGAGAGTGATTGGAAATAGTTTCAATGGCCATATAAAGCTAAGTAAGACAGCATATCTGATAGAGCTCCATGGTAGATTTCCCCTCGTATTCCTCTTGTGAACATAAGCAAGCTTTATACACAAATTCGCCGTTTCTAGGAAATCTTCATGTTCATGTAGAAACTCCAGGAAGAATTGATGCAGAAGTCTCCAAAAGGTTGTGTGCTCTCATTCCCTTTCCATAAGCTTTTCAATCAAGAGCTTTTGCCACGGACCCGTCAGCGAGCAATCCAATTGCTAACCATAAGTCTGCGAGGCCACTGTCTGACATATGTTCTCCAATCGCCTGCATGAAATTGAGAGAAATGCACATTCTTAGGAAAATTCGATCCTTATCAGGATCAGAGAGTTCATTTCTTTCCTGTTAAATTAAGTCCAGCCGATTTTTATTTTACTTTCTGGTCTGGAAATGACGAAAGTCAGATTCTCTCCCCCGGGAAACGTGTCACGTTTCTATGTCACTGGGGGGAGCTATAATAGTGCCCAATTTTTAAAGAAACTCGCCAAATTGGCCGCCATTTTAAATATCTCACTTCCGATCGAGATTTCGCTTTGACAATAGGCATCTTCGGACTCAAAAAGACTGGTTGCCAAAAAGTAATATGAAGTGTTCCTCGAAATATTAACTCGTAGGTATATAATTTCTACTCTTCGAATTTGTTAGTGTTGGGATGGGGGAAAGAACATTTTTGGTATTTAAATGTTTCTAAATTTTATACCGTATTTAAATACGTTTCAGCGTTTCTGTCACAATTTTAACTTGTATTAACCTTGTATCTATGACGCCATATATATCGAATCGATTTTGATTAGAATAAAAAGCAGGGTCCCTACGTTAGGTACCTACGTTACTGCATTTCCCTTGACACAACTCTTACTCTTGTAAACTAACAAAAGGGAATATCAAGAAATCCTTATGTACTTCGTGAATTATCCAAATGAAATGAATTTGTCTGCCATTACATTATCATTTCCCATAAAATCGCCGCGTCTGCCGCCATTTCAGTATTTCTCCATGCTCGTAACGTTGCTAATTAACATGACCTACGTTAGGCTGCCATATGACCACAGTTGTTTTTTGTAAAGCCACCGTACCGACAGGTAAGCACGTAGGTAAGTAGCAGTAGTCCCCCCTCACTTAACCCGTTCAAGGAAGAGAGAAAGTTTGCGGCCATGGCTGAATATGGTAGTGTTGTGTATTGGGTGTAACGAAGACAGTTAAATGGACGTGTAATTTTAATCATGCCTCGAAAGTTATTGAAGTTTTTGATCCTGTTCGACAATACGTCTTTATTATATTTCCCGGGACAGTTCCTATCGGGCAGAGTCCTTATCGAACTGCAGGATGATACACCCGCACTCGGTAAGAATACTAGATGAGCATCGTCATCTCTAGCAACAAAGAAAATAAAAGAATATAATGACCGCTAACTATCGGTTTTCCTCTTATATTATTTCCTTTCATATAATTGGCGCATTTAGTTAGTTTAATTGCTTATTAGGACGCGCAATCCGACGCTTCTTTAAATTACGACAAATATCACATCAGGCTTAAAAATTATGTAACTAATTACTATGCTAGTATAACCAACCTGAAAATCGATTCTATTTTTGTAACGATATAATGACATTTATTAGGTAATTGCGAAAACTACACGCCTACTAGCAACACAAATTATTTAGTTAGAAATAATATAATGATTTCTTGTTTTCAGGTTTACATTTCCACGTTGTTGGTGAGGGGGTAGTTCGTATTCGCACCCCTCGACAGGAAAGGCTGTATGATAGGGAGAATTATATAGATTTTCGAATGCGATTACTTGGAGAACCTGGTAAGGCTTAAGTTAATGTTGAATTATCTACTTATATTTTGACAGTCACGTGGCCTTTGATGGCTTTTATCGTTGTATATACACCTCAATACAATGCTTTTATTAAAGGTTCAGCAACAATTTCGAAACACAAAGTAATTTTCAAGAAACCAAATTTTGCATCGCCACCACCGGAATATTTGCCCTCAAAACGTTCGCCTCCACGTAAATTCCCTCACGAGAACTGGTCTTCGAACTATTTACCCCCTCAAAGATAAGTCACCCTTAAGCAAACCTCCTACCTGAAGGGAATGCAATCTTTTACCTCGTTTGTTTTACATTCACAGTAAATTCAGTGGCATAAAAATAAATAAATAAATTTTATCTATTTACTCCATGTACTTATAGTACATACATAACTAGGTATTTACTTGTGGCAAAGGTAAATCACTTACAAAATAGTAATTTGCGACAAATTTTACACGTTGACTATTTAATTCGCATGTAACTCACTCTTGTAAAAGATTCAAAATTGAATTTACCCTGGGTCCATAAAGCTATAGCTTCATGTCGTATGGTCAAAAAACTGGATCCATGGACACGAAATCAATTTGACCAATTTGAAGTTTAGAACGGTCCAGAATGACCACTAACTATTTAAGATACAGGGGACGTACTGATCAATGCATGGAAAATGTGCTAAACTTACTCGCCGTAGGGGAAAAACCTTTTTACTTGTTTCTATTAGAGATATCAAAAAATGGCGTTTCTATGAGATCGAACACCGTAACCTCCGTCTCCCCTATAAGTTTTAAATTATGACGTATTATCTGTGATGGAAAACATTTGGTCTTGGAAAATATTCTTCGAAGATACTCTCGATCTGCACCTAATAAGGATAGAATTTGTGCACCTTCAGAGCTCGTCGAAAGGTTAATTTACTTACGTATCTAAAAAATAGTAAACATTCTGAAATTATTGTAACCTAGTAACTACTTGTTCTATTCGTAAAATACTACAGGTTGAACAACACACTCAATTTAATTACTAACTGTATCTGTAAATTGAAATTTTTTATTTCAATTACTAAAAGAATTTATAATTACTCATTTTTGTTAAATATATTATGAATGAGCAGTCCAAATGTGCCAATGTATTTCTAAAGAGCATCGCAAAGGGATACGTTACAATTCAAAATTTAGGGATGGAGCGGCTGTGGTTATGGGGTTGAAGCTGGTACCTTACTTACCAAATTACGGTACTATGGATTCAGCGTAAAAAGTCAAAAAAATAATAAGATCATACCTTACTGTAAGACTGCAATACGTTGTGTTTAACAATTCCGAGTCAAGCTTGTTACCGATCAGTCAAGGAGTTCCACAGGGCTCAGTTCTTGGACCAATCCTGTTTCTCATCTCCATTAATGACCTGCTGAAATGTAACCCTGAGTGTAATTATATTTGCTGATGATACAACTTTAGTAAAGGGATACACTAATATTTTACCTTACTAAACAATTTAGGAGAAGTTTGTAAATTTGACAATACATGAAAATTAAAATTCTTGTTATTACTTTCAGTTGCTAAACAACCCTCACAAAGCACATAGCGTAGGCGGTACAAATTTTTTCGTTGCATTTTGTGACAAAAGCGTGAAACTCGGTACACGTGTTCATTAGGTCCAAATAAAACTTTTGGCCCGCAACACCCACCGAAATTTTCGTGTGGGTTCAAAATTTGAACACTTTTGTTCAAAAGGCTGTTCAAGGTTTTAAACCTGTAAAAATTGACGAATTTCGGCATTTTAGGGGTCGTTTTTTAATGATTTAGGGTCGCTGGTGCCAATGGCCGCATTAAAAAAGTTGCATATCTGACCCTTAGGCCCCAAATTTGGATTATTTTCAAAATAATGGTTACATCTTGAATTTGATAGTTTTAACCCTGCGTGATGTTTCGGATGTCGATTCCAGCTAATTTGGACGTGCACTACACGCTAGAAATGTTATATTGAAGTTAAAACAGTTTCTGGTGTGTAAATAGGTCGTTAATTGTTCAATAATTAATTTGTTCAAAATTTGGAAATTCCATACTTGGAGGATTTTGCCGTTCTTGGTGTCGTTTCCATATAATTTGTGGTTGCTGATGCTGATTTTGTATTCAAAAACAGATGCGACTCATAGTTAGGCCCTTTTCCCTTATTTCCCCGGATTGCACCAACTATTGAATGACAAGGAAAGACGAAAGAGATGGGCATTTCATTAAAATTCGGAAGCGGGCATGTTCTTTGACGGGGTATGCCGCCTATGCTTCCATTAATGCCTTCCCGTAATCGCTTGTTGGGAAATCTGTACTTCCATCAGTCAGTCTGGAGCTCACTCTACGACAAGTAACATCTCGCAGCGAGCTAGTTCCGTCCGACTCGTGCCCCTGGAAATGTGGATATCGCAACGATACCGTGAAACGCGTTCGATCGCGACGCAGTGCGTGGACGTGTCCTGAAGTCGCCGAGGCAGCCCCCAAAGTACATCTGACGGCGGGCGGTACGATTAGGCCGCGAGTCACAGGCGTTTTAACCCCTGCGCCTCGCTGTAGGAACAAAAGTGTTCAAATTTTGAACCCACCCCCGAAAATTTCGGTGGGTGCTGCGGGCCAAAAGTTTTATTTGGACCTAATGAACACGTGTACCGAGTTTCATGCTTTTGTCAAAAAGTGCAGCGTTTACCTCGATATTCAGTTGTACCGTCTACGCTAACACTACATTCCCCACATTACCCCCTTTCCAATGGACACGATACATATTTTAATTAACTTCTTTTTGGGTCCTGCGTCCGTATCTAGTAACTTTTGGTTTTTGAGATAGCTTTGAGGTTGGACTTTTTTGGTTTGTTGATTGGTCCTCATTTAAGAGAAAAGCGGGATTTATGCACTATTCAAGCCCGTAGCCAGAATGGTGTAGCAGGGGTGGCTGGTATCTTTCTAGGTGGGACTTCCTCTGTACATTTTGTAAAGGAACCATCAACCATAATTTCTAGTGGGGACAAGACCACGTTCTAGGTGGGGCTGAGCACCTGATTAATTATTTAATGGGGAAGCAATCGCACACAAATATAAACAGAATATTAGAGAACGGAACATAATTTGAACAGCCAATTTCTGAGTTCAAAATTTTGTTGCTAAGTGAAACAGCAAACCAATAAAACAATGTGGGCAATGGACTTTCATGGCAACGAGCAAAATGTAGCAAAATCAACTTTTCCATGAACCAGAAGACAGAGAACAGCTTTAAAGGGCCATCAAATTGGGTGTGCTACTAGACTCTCGGTACTTTTTCAGCGACTATGTATTCTTTTGCAAAGTGTTCCAGAAGTGAAAATCTCAACAAAGTTTTGACTTCTATTACTCTACAAAATTTTAAAAATCGATTGTCACTAAATGCAAATTTCAAACTGTTATTTCGAATGCGATACTATTATTGAGGTCATTAGTTCGATTTACATTTTAAGCTATTTTCGATTATAATTATCAGATTACTCATTTAACCGTTCTCCTTTAAAAATGAAAGTTCGTTAGAATCTACCAATAAATTTCACCGCTTCGGGTTACGCACTAAATTCAGAAATCTTATTTTAGGTCAAAATGGATCGGTGCTCTCTCCGGGCATTCACAGTTTTCCGTTCAAGTTAGGACTTCCCCTAGGACTGCCGTCTACGTTTTTGGGCAAACACGGGTGGGTGCAATATTACTGCAAAGCGGCCCTGAAGGAGCCAAACGGGTTGACGCACAAAAATCAACAGGTGTTTATTGTAATGAATCCCATAGACCTAAATCTGGAGCCATCCATATTGTCGGTAAGTAAATCCACGATCACAAAGAGTTTTAGCCCAAAGTGTCATGTTCATCAATCACGCCATGTGGTTTGATCTCCAATGACTAATGCGAATAAATTTTTGAAAATTTGTGCATAAGAATTATTCAGTTTTCATTGTAATTTCGGTTTTGTAGTAAATTAGCCAACTTTTTTATTTTTTATGCAGTAGCGCTTATTTCTTCATGGATCTGCCGAATTAAATCCGACTAAATTAAGTGCTTCACGAAAGCTCGCCTCCAGGAATTTTCCCGAAAGCTCACTTCCAGAAGAAAACACGACTTGTAATTAAAGTGGCTCTAAAAAGCGCGTAGGAAAAAGAAGAATTGCATTTGGGATAACTATCTATTTCAGTGATATGCCTCATTAATTTAGCTATGGCGACGAATAATATTCTGGAGGTGAAGCCCAAATTTACCGTGAGGAATTTACTGGACGTTTTTTTTTAGATTTTTGTTATTGGTACCCAATTAGCACCTAATTCTGAAATGGTTTAGAAAAAAAATTGGATTTACTGAGGGGGCTAACTTAATGGGCATTTACTAGGGATTAATTCTGAACATGTTTTGTCTAAATTCGAATTCAAAACTATTAATTTTTTTGTATACCCGAAAAATTAGTTTGCATCTGATAAGTCCCCCGGTTTGTTTGATCGGCTCTGGGTAAATGACACCAAAACTCCAATTGAACTTTCAGCTTCTGGGGATCAGCCCTGCTTGGTTGGAAACTAATTTGTGACCAAATTTTAGTTTCAAAAAATCAAGGGTGCCTTCGAAATTAAAAATAAACGTTTTTTGCATACCAGTCTTTGGGGAGGAGATACGCAAATTCTAGATCTTTTGATGTTTTTATTTTTTAGCCGGATTTTTTGAAGGGATCCGAAAAAATGTTATTTCAAAATAGGATGTATAGGATGTTTCTCTGTCCCTGCCAAACGCTTGAACCCATTCGGTTGAAACTTTGCACAGTTGACCTATCCCCACAAGTAATGACCCAATGACTCCGTAGGGTCACACCGAGGTGCTCTGCCGCTTTTTTGGATGCTCTTTAGGGGTTTTTCATGTTTTTGGTGGTCAGCCTAAAATATTTTAAAAGACGAACTTGTTTTGGAAGCATCTCTGTCACTATTGAGGATTTTACTAAAAAAAACTGTTTCATTTCTTAGTAGAAAACAATGCTCTAAGTTTGAGCCCTAAATCAACGCAAACTTCAGCATACGACCCATGCAATATGTTGCCCTTTTAGAAACCATGCACTCTGTGTGCTTCAACATTTCCATTTTTCAAGTAAGCGTGATCGTGAAAAACCAGAGGTTCGTTTGATAACAAATTTAGCGATTATTTAATACCTGGCGTAATGAAATTCAAACTTCGTAACATGATGAGTGATTTTAATCTCTTTGTGGTGAATTATTTCGCAAGTATGTCGCATCTACTGCTGGTAAATATGCAAATCAATAGGGTAGACTGGTAAATACATTATTAAATGCAAATTAAAACCTTAAAACCGTCTTAATATTTTTACTCAATTTTAGTATGCGTTGTTACACACCATTAAGATTAAACTTTAGCTCATCGTAAAATTATCTGACCTTAACATAGTTAAAAAGTATTGACTTTCACAGCCCTATTCCACTATAAAGTCCTTTTTGTTATATAATAGGGGATGTTTAATTCAAATTGAACGTTGTTTATTAGAAAATAACTGACAGCATTTATTATTATACCAAAAGTAATCAGTCAATTGAAACGAAAAGGCACTACTACTACTAGGTTTGATTTACGAATGGGGGTACATGTGGTCAAGCACGAAAGATTTGAAAACGTGGAAAAGAAAAGTCCTGTGTAGGTTCACAAAAACATCGATGCTAGGATGAAAGAAGGATATTCTGCCACTTAAAAACAAAATTAAATTCATCCCCAGGGCTAATTCTTGGTGAGCGTTCAGTTCAAACTTCTGCAGCTCCTTGTCAAACTATGACGATTACTCTTGCAGTATGAATGACCACTTGGTTGAAAGATAACATCGCAGTTCCATGGAAAGAATCCAAAATTGGAATGCACTTATGTTTCCTACTTTTAGCAACCGTTTCGATGCGAAATCGAACACAAGCTCGGTGTTAGCTGCGTTGGTTCTGGACCTGTAGTATGTAGAGTTACTTTGGACAGAGGCGGATACGTCCCCGGTGAAAGCATAGGTAGTCTAATACAATTTTTCTTTAAGAATTCATTTCGAATTTCAGGTATTTCGGCGAGTGTTCAAAACAGAAGTAACGTAACGGTAAAAAGTACTCGAGCGGCTCTTACAGAAACTATTCAGTATATGGCGAGAGGAAAAGTAGTACAATCGGAACGTCGAGAATTAGCTTGTCTGACGAGAGGAAAAATAAGACCCGGAGAGTCGGACGAATGGACCAACGAACAACTGTACGTGCCACCTTTGCCGCCTACAAACTTGCGGGGATGCCATTTAATCAAAATCCAATATGATGTTTATGTAAGCATATTCTTGCCAGTTTTCATTGTCGAATATTCCTATTTTAGTTTATTATCGAACCGAAAAGCTTGGATAAGGAGGTAAAGCTTCAGTTACCCATCATGTTGGCAACATATCCTTTAAGAACAGAAGAGAATGGGGCGTCCTACAAATCTGGCACACACTATCCCTCGACTCTTCCAATCTTTCGACCTTGGCTAGAGGATAAACCAGTTTTGGACTGATTCATAGTGCCATCATCAACTTTACTATAGTTTAAATTAATAATAATTTATTTTCAATAATATTAATAATATTTAATTTGATTAAAAGCGAAGCTTTAATTTTACATTAACTTATATTTATCAATTTGTTATATAAATATACCTCCCTATGTAATATTTTTAAAAATTTGTGTGCTGCGACAATTGTGCCAAATTATTGTACTAACCCCATAATTGCAAAAAACTACTAAATAATATTTTTATAATTCTTCCGTTTTTGATTGATATTGCTGTGACCTTAGTTTGACCAAATCTACCGCACTTCTGGAATTAGCAGTGAAAGTAACATTAGGTACGCACTAAATCTTACATTAGAATCAGAAAAGGGTGAGGAACCCTAGCCCGCAATTCGCGCGGGAAAATTTGTACTACGCGAAAGCATTCAATGGCGAAAGTAATTCGGTTCGTGTTAACCAAGAAAAAGCGGGAAAACTTGACCATCAGGTGTAAAAAAATGAAGCAATGGAGATTATGGGAGGGATGTTACAATTTCATTAACCAGGAGATATCATATATTACTGAGACCAATGAAAACTAATAACGGAATGGGATTTTGTACAAGAAAATAGAGTAATGCAGGATTATTGATAGGGATATAAGACGATTACGGTGAAAATATGGGATTGTGGTAAAATGAAAAAAATTGCGAAATTACGAGAAATGTTTAAACAAAGTAAAAGAGACTGGCGTTTAGAAAAATCGGAGTATCAAAGAGCTAGTAGTAAAATGTCAGGATTTTTATAGGGTTGTGAGGGGTAAAATTGTAAGATATGATTTAAGTTCATATATTTTATGAAGTGAATAACAACTGATACCTTAAATTACGTTGGGGGTTTTGGCTCAAATAATAATAGTCAATATTTTGAATTGTATAGGATGCGTTAGAAACAAAATAAATACAATTTGAAGATGTTGATCAACACTATGAAAATAAATAAAATGGTCACACATCGCATGTGTCCAGCAACAAAAAATTGAGAACGAGGAGACAAGAGAAAAAATAAATATGGAACAACTTATATTGTAAAGGTTATAAGAAAGAATCACATGCGCCCAAAATGCTAAGTTAAGGTCCTAGGGAGGAAGGCAGTAAAATAATTAAACGTTCGGAAAAGCTTAATTTTTTATTAGTATACCTAATGGTTCCTATTTTCATAGGAGAGGTTTCCTTTTCAACCTGTTACAATAACGAATCAACTTCAGGATCCGAATTACAGTACGCATATCCACATTTGTCCGTCCTATCCTATCATTATATTTCTGTTAGGCCGAAGGAGTACGTCCATGATCCCAGCCTCCTCATTATTTGTTGTTGTTATAAGCGTGTTAACATTAGATAAGAACAATTTGAACAAACGGGGGAGGGGGGGGGCTGTATCCCCCCACTTGATGTTTTACAAACTTTGAAGCCAGAAACGATCCTAAATAACTAATTACTATACATCGCGAGTTTTATTTCAAAATGAAATTTAATACCGATTCCATGGCCGTAGCCAGAGGGGGGCAAGAGCGGTCTGCTCGCTCTTGGGACCCACTTTGCCCGCTCTTAAAATTTGCTTAAAATTTGCAATGTAACATGCTCATAAATTATCAAAATTTCTTTAAAAAATTAACAGAACAAGAGATAAAAACTTCAACCATTAATATTAATTAATTAATATTAATTAAGAAGATGTTTTAGGTTGAAAGATGGATTTAATAGTTTTCTATTATTTAATAGTGCCAGCGCTTTTTCTTCGAAAACGACATTTTTCGGTTTTTTGCCCTGAATTTCGCGATTTGTAGAGCTACAAGAAACTTTGAAAGGGAAAATTAATCAGCATGAAAGTGTGCGTAACCTTGCCCATTTAAGCGACTTTGCATCTCGTACGGTTTACGAGACCCCCTTGGTGTCAATGAAAAAAAACTCACCCTGTATTATTATCATTTTATTATCTTTTTTACCATAAGGGAGATCCGAGGAGAGATCTACAAATGACTTTTTAAGTCGATACAATACACACATTTCTTGGGCATCGAGCAATCGAGTTTGGTCTTTTTCACACAAAAATTGGTGCATAAATAAGGATTTAAATCGATATTGGGCAATAATATACTAACTACTAACATTAATTCTTGATAGTTGTCCATCTGGAACCATAAGCTTTGTTATAGCGAAAACCAGAAGTCGATACAAGTTCTTCTTCCCAAGAAAATCTACATAAATAACGATTTTGACATTTTTTGTGAACAAAAATACACATGGACCACTTCTTGGGCATTGCGACATTGAATTTCCCAAGAAAATCGATGCATAAATAACGATTTTGACATCCTTTGGATAAAAATATTTTGGTCACCAAAAATAGACATGACGTATCATTTCTTGGTTATCGAACAAACACGTTTGATCTTTTTCCCAACAAATTGGTGAATAAATAATAATTATGACCAATTTAGAGCTATAACACGTGATGAATTCCAAAGTTAATTTTGATAGTCGATACGAGGTCTAGGGACTGAACTATTGTACGAAACGACACGCAGACGGACGGAAATGTGAAGTATGACTTCTTTCGTGGATTGCGCTAAAAACGAATTGTTTCAGCAGAACACAGCAAACTATTAATATTTCGCCTGCCCGCTCTTAGTAACTAATCTGGCTACGGCCCTGACCGATTCCCAAGTGCCATTTTAGAGATATATTTTCAAATCAGAACCGAGGGTGAGTAAAAGAGAAATCTAATTAAATGTTTCCCTTTGTGCATACCTTCCCGTAGGACTTTTTAGATTGTTTTCACAGCACACGATGTCGATGAGTAAATATTTGGTGCTGACGTTGGCCCGAAATTTAGGTAACCTTGACTGAATGTTCTTGATGATTAAATAAACTTGTAAGAAACACAGGAAACGAATTCCTAGGTCACTGGAAATTTAATGAATTATTCCTTGGGTGATGATAAACATAATAATACCATTGAGTAAATAAATCCTTCACTCAACGATATTACTGTTAACCTACAAAAATATACATTTTCCAATTTGTGTTCCTATACGCAGCAAAAATAGATTTGCATTTCAAAAAAGGCACTGACACATGTGAGCAGGAAGGATAAATTTGTTTCTTATGTAGGTAGTACTTTTCTTTCAAAAGGCCTCCAAACTGTTCCCTTCTCTTTCAAACCCTTTGCCATTTTCCATGCTCGTTCCAGTTGATTTTAAACAAAATCAAAATGGATTAAACCAATGTTTCTTAACCTGTGGTCCTGGGGGTCCGCGAGTATGTGTACGGGGGTCCGCCGTCGTATTTATAGACATTTGCAAAAAAAGCAGCACCAACCTTCACATTGAAACCGTATTTTTAATTTTTATAAAAATGTACTTTTTTCAGTACTAAAATAAATTGTCCGAAATTTATTCTTTTTTTTTATTGAGGGGGTCCTTGAAATTGTTCTTGATTTTTTAGGGATCCGCGGACTGAAACGCTGGATGAAACGGTAGTTATTAAGAAATATTTCACAAAGTACTCTCATACGCAAAAAAGTAGAAAGTCTAAAGATTAACGACAAAAAAATAAAAACAAATTGATGTGGCCCTGCAAATCGAAATTTACCTTATACGTCACACGTCTTACGTATAAGTACTCCGTAATGGTCTTATAACTCTGTTCTGTCTCGATAATTGAATTTCATCTTCATACATGAATTTAGCGTTTACACATTTTCTGGACACTAACAAATCTAACGATCTGCTATACATTGCACTTCTATTTCAAAAGAGAGACGATTACGATAAAACATCGTACATTCACAATTGCAGAAGGTAAAGTACGTACGGATCCGAAAAATATTGCAAATTTTAACGTGCGAAATGTAACCCCTCTCAACTATGAAAATATATTTCAAAACATTAACCACCGAAATACTACCCCTTCACTTAGATGATATCCCTCAGCCTCATCAAAACCTTAAAGTAGGTTACATTTAATGAACTTTACATCACGAATTGAGGGTTTAGACATTTTACAAGCTCAGTCCTAGGATTTGATTTATGCGCCGTTGAACAGCTCCATAGTTTACGCACGCGGATTAGAAAATGCCGTCGTAATATTATTTTTTACTAAAGCTGAAGCGAGCAAATTAAAGAGGTAAATTAAAAATCACCATTCGTTTCCAATCAAAAATATATTAGAAGGTAAATAAAACCGCTTCAAAGGAGATTCTCCTCATTGAAAGGCACTCTTTATGGTGAAATGCAATAGTTTTGCTATTACGAATGGATTTTGATTAGACTTTTCTAGCGCTATTTCTCTATGACGTTTGGAGATTAAAAGAATCCAATATGAAATTCGATTTTGCTAAAGTATTCTCAACAACTCTTAAGATAGACGAAGGTTTATTTAAAAACGACTTACGCTTCAGATTGGATCGGATGGCACCATCCCTCTGGTATGTAAAATTCAAGAAATTCGCAAAGTCACTACACGCCTTGAAAAATAACAGTCAACTAAATTAAGAAAGTTACCATTCAATTGCACAATACAAATCTTATCTCACCCGTGAAATGTTGATCTCAGGTGATGAATCTGTTAGTCCAGCAAAGCGATAACCGAGCGAAACTCGTATGGTATTTAATTTGTTTACAAAATAATAATCACATTAGTTTTATTTATTTGGCATAGCGGATATAAGGTACGGCGTTTTTGTTAAAGCCTCAAAGGGGATGGCGTCTGAAAGTGCTTAAGAGCTGTGAGAAAACTGCAAGTGCAGTTTTGTTTCCATGCATTTCAACGAATTTCCTAGGATTTGGGAAGATCTCCGCGCAGTACCAAATTAAAAATTCCCTCACTCAGTAGTTTTGACTCATCAAACGGGGTACAATCCAGCACAAAAAGAGCTATGCGGGGGGAACCGGAGTATGCTGGCTGATTTTCCAATTATATTGATACTTGATACTTTGGCATATGCCTGGCGTAGCCGCCTCTCCCAGAATTTAGTCAACTGTCGTGGGGATGTGTCCCTGGTAGGGATGCATCTTCACTACTTTTGTTGCAATTGCGCTGGGTGTAGGAAATGCAATACCAGGATCGCGGGATCCCGAAATACCGGGATTCCGCAGCATTTTTGCGGGACGAATCCCGTACGGAAATGGAGCGAGATCCCGCGGGATTTGCGGGATTGTGAAATTTATCGAGCACAGCCACGGGTAAGAGTTTAAAATTCATTAATAAAACGCGTAACCGAAAAGTCCAAATACTTACACGTCGTCCTTAAATCGTAAGGACATTGACTTTCCCATTTACCATACATTCGCAATTCCCTGATTTTGATTATTTCGTACTTTTTTGTTGTTGCGGTTCATGCAATAATTACGCACTAACTTAAATGTGTGACTTTGTTAAACAGCCATGAGTGCGAAAATCTGGCTTATATTTTGCTCCTATTTTAAACGTAGATACCGTTATTCCTGTACAATATTTTTTGAACTCGTCTGTTGTTTATACAAACTTTTGTAGTAAAAGTGGCTATATGGAAATATTGTAGTGAATATTCTAGAAACAGATAAGCATAAAGGCGCTATAAAAGATTAGTCACCGACAATAAGAAACTAAAGTGAATGTGATGCATTCTTTCCGGGAAATACGATGTGCTTTGTGTTTTGTTGGAGAATATTCCGTTAACCACACAAAATTTCTTATTTCCCAATCCATTTAAAATTTTGCGGGATCCCACAAATACCGAGATCCCGCGGGATTAACATATCACGATCCCGCAGTTGAGGGATCGAAATTTTACTGCGGGATTGCATTCCCTAGCTGGGTGGCGACTTATGCCAAACAATGTGGTGGATTTTGTGGATTGGCGAGGTTGTGGAGGGCGGCTAACTGGGTGTTGTCCGACTCGAAAGGGTACGGCCACAGCTTGGCCACTGGAATATCTGCATTAGAGGAAACTCTGCTTCCTGGTAATTCCATTAGTTTCCGATGCCGCCATCCTTTGGTCTCGTTTCCTTCCTTCCTTCCTGTTTCTCCCTTTCTTGTTTTTATCCTCTCTCTACCTCTCTTTATGGCTCCTCCCCTTGGTTGCTTGTGCTTATGTCTGATTCTTCCTCCACCTCCAGTACTCTTCTGCTTTCTTTCTTCATTTTGTGTTTGACTCTGCTCCACATCTTTCTATGGTCTATAGTGGTGATCCATATGTAAAGCAGGGTCGGCCAACTTTACATTCTGAGGCACGTAGATTCTTGGCCACCTGCAGTATATGGTCTTTTTAACAGAAATTCTTTCAAGAATGTGTTACGGACGTTTCGCATCTCAAATTTGGGTGAACAAATTTAGCTCTTAACGAGAGTAGACAAATTTTGGTAATTTAGACTTTGTGTCCATCCGTCTGTTTTGGCCTTTCGTATTGGTTTGAAACAGTATATTATACAAGGGCAGTTTGAAAAGTCAGTAACTTTTTCAATTAAAGATATTTTTTTCGACACATAAGAGTTTTAGTTCTCAACATAGTCTCCTTTTAGCTCGATACATTTAGTCCACCGTTTTTCTAATTTTTTATTCCTTCCAAATACATGATAGGTTTTCTCAAGTCCCTCAAATTAGGTGTTTTTTTTTCAGTGATGACACAAATCTTTTACATCCCCTTCATTTTTTTAGGTTTGAAAATAGGAAATAGTCAGAGGGGATAAATCTAGCGAATATGCTGGATGGGATAGCAGTTCGTAGTCCAATTTCTGGATTTTGCCAAGGCGACTACCCTGATGCAACAGACTTTTTTTCTTTGCCAAATGCGATCGTTTCTACCTACAGCCTCAGTCACATTACGCACTTTTGTTCTCTGATCGTCCATTAATATCATTCCACATTCGGTGGAGTTTATCGATTATTTCTGGCGTGGCGCCCGCTAATCACCACACGAAATTCATTTTCATCAATTTTTTGTTAAAATTCACGAGGTTTTCGGGTTCACAAGCTGTCGAACACAAATTAAAGGGCGTAGCTTGCCCAAAATTGTAGACTGACAGTCGACGGAAGCAGCGTTGCGTGGGAAATTCAGAAAGTCACTGACTTATCAAACTGTCCTCGTATTTTGATGCTGAGACAATTGAAAAAAATAATCTTTCGGACTAGACTCAATAGGAGAAGTAAGTAACATGTTCAATTCGTTTTCAAGGTTCAAAAGACCAATTTATTTCCAAAGCTGGTTTTTCCACCACCATGAGGTATGCTTTTTATACAATTATACGTAGAATCTCCAGTAGGCTGGACCATAGAATTTTTAGGGCATTTTTGAAAAAAATACACTATTATATTCGGCTGGCTGGCCGACTTTCCGGGTGAGATCTCAGTAACTACAATAGCTAGAGACTTCAAATTTTCACTAAAAGCTTTCTGCACAACCGCAAATGTTGATTTATTAAAATGAAATCCGATGTTGCTCCGTTTATCTTTAGCGGATTTTTGCAAATCTATTTGTAAAAAGGTAGCTTTTAATCTCACGTTGACCGGCTGGCTGGCTGGCAACAAATGTGGACCCGTAGAAGAAAGCTTGTAGAGAGACGAGGAGTATGTATACTAGTACTACAGGGGCTGTGTAATTAACAACTATATAGGGACGGGGCTACATTATGTTGGTTCGGGGACATCTGGGGGCATCCCCGAGTTAACGTGGTGATTTTTCAGTTTTTTTCTATCTTTTTCTATAGTTCTGGGCCGATTGTTTTCAAATTGGTGTCGTCGGAAAGGTCTTGTAAACGCGTAGTCTTGCGTAACGGAATTTTCTTTTTTTTCGTAGGGGCGAAATTAATCACATTTTGCAAGGTGCGCGTCTTCAAGGGGTAGTCGACAAAAGTTACTTAGAGCGGTCTCTCTTTATCGTGTCGCCAATAGAAGATCGAGCTATGAGAAGTGCCCCAAAAATTGAGTACTATTTTGTTAAGAGTTTTTAACAGAATCCACCAAAATTTGCGGGTAAACGGGACGTCGGAAGTGGATACCGACAAAGAGAATGCAATAGCCCCCGACAAAATCTTACTGATGGTAAACTCAAAACTTCAAATGCGAATTGCGGATAAACCGGACGTCGGAAGTGGGTACCGGGAAGCGTTGTGGTAGCCGTCGACAAGACCTTATTTTCTTAACTTTGGCTTTTTACACTACCTAATATACAGGGTTAAATCCCTATGTTCCTACTTACCGTGCACCACAATGTAGTTGTAGCCAGTAGGAAGATCCACCCTGGCAAATTCGGCCAGGTAAATTCTCCCCCGGAATATTCGCGCCGAACAAAACCCGCCCCCGGGATATTTTTTCCGAAAAATTCTCCCGCGAAATACTCCTTCGCCAGGAACTCGCTCAGAGAAAAATTCAGATTCGGGAAAGTTTGACGGTGGTTGCGTTAATTAAAAATATTCTCAATCAGTAGGTAATTGAATAAGTAATTATTTTATAACTTATTCAATTGTTCCGCCTAAGCACGTTTAACATACATAGTACCTAGATGTAGTGGGTTGATAGTATACAGAACTTCCCCATAAAGGTCTCTTTGTGGTTGTTGTACCTACTTATATTGTATTTTAGGTGTATAATAAGACTTCCGATTGTAGGAAGATTTGCCCAGATAGGTACAATCTCCATCGGAATATTCCCACAGTTAAGTTCGCCTCCAGAAAATGAGGCTCCGAAATATTTATAAAAATTGATTAACTGCAATAAAATCGATGGAACTGCGGGGTGCAAATTTTCTGGGAGAAAAAACTATGGAGGTGAGTTTTCTTGAAGCCAAATCTTCTGGGGGCAAATTTTACCCGAACGGCCGAACGCATATTCCGATGGCGATTATTTTGGGGCCGAATATACCGCACACGTACTGTGCGATCAAAAATGAGTTGCTGTCGAGTCACCTTTGGAACTTTTGTTTACATGGGCGACTCGACAGCAACTCATTTTTGATCGCCCGTTACTATTACATACAGTTATAATTTTATTGTATTGTACATGTAATTCATATGTTGTTTTCTTTACGTGTATACTTATATGTGAAAGAAGGCTATGATTATTATCATTGATTATTATTGAATCTCCCATCCCGTTGGGTGTACCGGTAAAACCAAGTGCCTCCGGTGGACAAAACCAAATTTGCTCTTCCGATCTCGCTTGGAACTTTGAATGTACAGTTGTCTCGATGGTCCAAATCCTAGAGGCCTATGTATTTAAAAAATAAAAAAACTAATTTGCGAGAAAAGAACATCATAAAAAATGAATTACAGCACAGAGCATCATTTGTTTGGACAACAGTCAACGAGACAGAGGAGTACTGACCGGATTAGTGTAATCACCCTCGTTATACAATTATTACTGTTATTATGAATGATTTAGATACAGAGTGCAACTCTGTCTAAAAACACAAAGTTATAGGTCATTGTTGATAAGATTAATTATTGACGAAACTATAAACTTTGACACACCGAATAAATAGCGAAGCGCTGTAATTTAGTAGTTACTGTAACGCATTGACGGTCTCATTGAAATATGTCTTGGTTAATACGCGTCGGTTTGTTGATGTATTTATACAATGCATTATCCGTATGCGCACTTGCTGAAGGTATGTAAACGTTAAGTTTCCATTTCAATCAACCCATTATAATTAATAGATGCGGATGGTGAAAACATAGACACTTTCCAGTTGGGCGAAAAGAAAATTAGCGAATTTGTGCGGGAGATTATCGAACACTACAAACAGGAAGACCCAATTGGTATCCCGGGGGTTCCGATTCCAGAACCGCTCGATATTCCTCCACTTACCCATTCATTTTCGGTTGGACGAATGAATTTCGAAAATGTTAAATTATATGGATTACCCAAGTTTCGTATCGATCACGTTACTGCTGATTTAGCAAAGATGCAAGTTACCGCAGCACTGCGAATCGACGTCTTGAACGTTTTGGGAAACTACACGCTGAGCACGTGGTTGTCAAGATCTCAAGGTCCATTTACAGTTCAATTAAGTGATGTTTACGTAGAAGCTATAGCAAAGCTGGAAGTTGACGACGAAGGTAGATTGGAAGCCCAAGATATGAACATGGACATTACATTTAAAAACATTGCCATGAACTTTGAGCGACTGGGATTTTTCGCTAGTGTCTTCCAAGGGGTTATTAACTCCGTTGGGACCTTTATATTCGACTCAATTAAGCCTTTTATATTGAGCGAAGTGAACACTAATATGCGAAATGACGTAAACAAGCAAGTTCACCAAATACCATTGAAATTTCCCAACTCAATATCGCCATTTGACAAACTGTTGTCTGAGGCGCGCAGCAAAGTACGAGAATTAAACTATGACCCGTTCATGCTAGATGACTACAACTACACCGCTACTTTATTCACTCTAGATATGACCCACACTTGGTTAACAGGCCTTTCGACCTTCCACAGGGTTGGAAATATGACGTTTGAGGTCCGAAACCATTCGTTATACTTGAGCGTTGAAGTTGGGACGCAACAACTAAAAGGCACGACGCACTGGGAAGTTGGAGTCGTTGGGGGTGTAATGAGCCGGGCAGGGACAGCATCCTTCTCCGTGGAATATTTAAAGGTAAATATCTTCTTAGCTAAGAAATGACTCGAATCCGACGCTGCATTTTATTTTACACAATGGTGTAATCTTAGCGCCCTCTCTTGCTGGTATTAGATTTAAGATACAATTTTGAAAGATTACTTCTTCCACCAGTAAAACGCGCGAAACACACTCAAATCCAAAGTTTGCACTATTCACAACTATAAAAAACAGTAGACCTGCCCAACGTGCCCTAGAGACAAGAGAAATTGTACTATTCATGGTTTAGACATGGACGTGCCCTCCACAATCCACAATTTTGTGAAGAACCTTGCCATTATTAGCCAGCAACCCAGCTCTAGGGACTAGGAGACCCTTTCAAACCCTTATTGCTATTTGAAATATTTCGCAATATACACATTCCTTTACTGCACGCACATCTGAAATGCACTTTAGTTGCTCATTGAACAATTTCTTAAATGAAGAAAATTTTATTAAAAAATACACCCTTTTCAACTATCAACTATTAAGACTGGTTGACCAACTTAATCATTAAGCATTCTTTTCAATGCAGCATTTCTTAACAAACTTGGTATCCATTTAGGCCATTTTTAAACGGTTTTTGAAAATATTGAAACTAATAACTAACATTGAAGACTTAATTACCTAGACCTGTCTTTCTATCAAATTCAAACCTCTTAGAATGATATAAAATTTATATTTAAGAAAATAAATACATCTCTCAAGAAGCATACCTAACTTATACAGCAGATAAGCAAACATAGCAATCGTTTAACAAGTGATACTCCACAATGTACTAATGTTCGTTTGCATTTTGTGATGAATGAGATGTCATGCTGATTATCTGCTACGGATTTATAAGCAAATTTAAACAGTCTTCCAGAATGTGTTCGCTTTTCAAGAGAACATTCTGTTAGTATTTGCCTTAAGGTTCTTGTGACACTTCTCGTAATGGATTCGCTTTACCTTCAATTGCAATTCGAAACGTGACCCTAAAAATTGTTAAGTAAGTGCGACAACAATTATAATTTATATTTTAATTACGTACCAAGACTCTCACTCTGATAATGTAATGCCAAGACCTAGTTTTACATCCCAAACCGTTTTCTCCTCTCATGGGTCGAGAACCACCTGCCTTCCAATCGATCGGCTGGACCAGAGCGATAAGTTCCATTTTTTGCGACGATTCCTTGAATGAAACTTTCAATTGAAATCCCATTTCTGTATTTTAAGGTTGTAAGAGCAAGAAGAATTACAAAGAAACGTTCACTTTAATGATGACTAAAGTAAACAACTATTTGAGGTTAAGTTTTTACCACACATATAGGAAACGGCATTATCGGCCTAAAAATAAATAGCGTTTAAATGAATAATTGTTCTTCTTGAGTTCATGTTTTCCTGGTCCTCCGGTTCATATCATATCATATTTATTATTTGTCACGAAATACATTCCATATACTTGTATAAGAACAGAGCGTACGTATGAGGCGCCATTTGTGTCAAAATAAAACCTGTGAAATATATATCAATATTTGAGAAATATAAAACATTTAAGCAGATATGTATAAAATTCCATTAGATATATGTAAATTTTCTTTGTATATTTAAACATATAATTGATTATACATATAAGAAACAGCAGTGGTATATATATAAAGTTGAAACTAGAATATTATATAAAGTCAAGTTCCTAGAGCGGCCGTATAGTGGCGCTCCGTGAACTAAAGGACGCGTACGTCGTGTTGTATCTGTTACCTTTATATTACTACACTACACTTTGTGTTGTTTTTAACAAGTACAAGGTGGTAGGATATTTGTGTATGACAGCTGACAACATAAAATGAAATGGGTGTGTCATATGATCACCGATGTACGTTGCCTTACGTCAATGTGCGCCACCATGCGGCCACTTGACGAACGCGACTTTATATTACGTTTTATTTAATTATATATATATGTTTCCTGCTTCCTTTTGTATATATATGTATATATATATATATTAATAAATAGATTTAATATAGCTATGAAAGAAATCTGTCCATATCTAACCAAATTTGATGCATATCTGCCTAAAAATGTTATACATCTGAATTATCTACATATATTTCGCAGGTTTTATTTTGACACAAATGGCGCCTCATACGTACGTAACAATGTGTCAATTTTACATAAATTATAATGTTAAGAGCATACAATGAACAATAAACAATAAAATCATCTTTCGAGATATTCGCTCAAGTGGTAATATGACTGCTCCATCAAAAAGTTTTTGAGCGTTCATGTTTTATATATACACAATGGCATATAAACATGGCCGCTTTATCGCAACATCGAGTATGACGAGTTGCCTACATAGCAGGGTACACAATGCAAACGCACACTTGCGCACACCATATCGCATTTTTATACATTTTTAGCGCATTTCCACAACAATAAAAAAAATGCGCTATTGTGGCCACTTTGTCCGTCCGTCCGTCCGTCCGGCGGTCCGTCCGCTCGTTTTGCGACGCTACTGCTACTAGTTCTTTATCTTAAGAGCTATTGTTCTACCATTGAATGATAGTTATAAATTCAATGGTTCTACTTTTTTCGCTATTTGGTTCGTTATGGTGTCGAGGCTTGCACCAAGAAAGGAATTTTTTCTGCGTTTATTGCTAAAAAAGTTGCTGTAAAAAAACCAACAAACCGTTTTTTACATGTTCCATAATTTTATACTTTTGCCGTTTATTAACCATCCTAGAGATCATTTATAATTTTGTATTGTTGTCTGTCGTCTGTCTGTTGGTCTCTTCGTCTGTTCCTTTGCCTGTCTGTCCTCTATCTGTCCGTGTGAACGATAATTTTGTTTAGAAATGTCCGATCGCTTTTATCTCCGTTACTTATGAACTGAATTGCATGAAATTCAATATGGGCATAGCCTTAGCCATATAATACGCAATGCCAAAAGTTGAGTCGAATCGATTCAAAATTCACAGTGCCCTTTTCGCATCTCGACCATTTATAAACCGAATTACAAACTTTTTTTCTTATAAAAGTATTTGAATGAAATTTGATACATAGGCACTTGGAATAAAGGAAAATCTAACGCCAGTTTCAAAATTTAGTTTTGCGCATGTGCAGTGCCAACTTTTTTATTTATGGAAGAATTTAAATGAAATGTGATACATAGGCACTTGGAATATAGGAAAATCTAATGCCAGGTTTAAAATTTGGTTTTGCGCATGCGCAGTGTCAACTTTTTTATTTATGGAAGCATTTAAATGAAATTTGATACATAGGTGCTTGGAATAAAGGAAAATCTAGCGCCAGTTTAAAGAATTTATTTGGCCCATGCGCAGTGCCAACTTTTTTTATCTATGGAAGCATTTAAGTGAAATTTGATACTTTGGCGCTTGGAACAAAGGAAAATCTAACATTAGTTTCAAAATTTAGGTTTGCGCATGCGCAGTTCCAACTTTCTTATTTAGAAAAGCATTGAAATGAAATCCTTCTTATAAACTGAAATTGAAATAGCATGTCAAAAATGGATTGCTCATGTGCAACGTTATCTTTCATATTTGTGGCCGGATTTTTACGATTTTAACAGAAGTTTCATCTTACAAATGGGAAATGAATGCAAGTGGAAATGCGCTTTATGTAAATCGTTTACGATTACTTTTTAACTTGTTAAAGTTTAATTCAAATTTTGACGTACGGCATTTTATTAAATTTCAAATTCAAATAAGTAAAAGAGTGGTTTTATAATACGAGCATCCATTTTTTCCGCGCGTAAACACATAGCAACTGTTGGGTACACACAGCGACCTATTTACCTATGAAAAGTACAAAGAACAAAATTTACAAAACACATAAACTTAAACGCAAATAATTGTTTGCTGTCATTGAATATTGCTGTGTACTTCATTAACGTTTCATCATTATTTATTAATGATCCTCGAGATCGTTTATAATTTTGTATTGCTGTCTGTTGTCCGTCGGGCTGTCCGTGTGCACGATAACTTTGTGTAGAGACGTCCGATCGCTTTGAAAATTGATACATAATATTTTCTGCAGGATATAAGAAAGGTCGCTATTGTTTTTCGGCTACGTACACTAACGGACCAAAAAGTTACAGTCCAAAAACTGCTCAAACTTGCAAAAAAGGGTTTTACACAATTCTTGTTACAAAGACATATGTCCATTTATTCCCTATACATATATAATTGTTTAATATATATGTTTGAGAATAAATCGGCTTTCACTACAAACGAGGATATCAACCAGGGCATGAAAAACCGCTACCACAACAACCCCACTGTACCTCCGCACAACACAACGCTATTTGAAGAATCACCAAAATATACGATGATAAAGCTATTCAACCGTCTTCCACAAGAAGCCAAGAATCTGACCTCTCTTCACCCATTTAAAAGATATCTAAAAAAGTTCCTCATTGACCACCCATTTTACAGTATTAAAGAATATCTCGCCAATTCATAAGACGCTCCATGTACTTCAGTCTTCCGCTATTGCACGTATTTGTTTGTTTGTTATCTACTTATTTATTTATTTTGTGACGTTCCTATACCCTTATATGTAGTCTAAATGGAAAGTAAAATGATTGAGATTGAGATGTCCGGTTTTCTGTGTTAGTAAATATTCCTTAAACCTCAGGTTACTATGCCGATTAAAAAAATTGCGCATGCGCAACTCAACTTTTGTATTTGCCCAATCCCAATTTTGTTATCTGCCTATATGTAAATGAAATTTTGTATATACGGACCTCGAATAAAAGTAAAACTAATACCGATTTAAAAAAATTGTTTTACAAACTATACTGATCTGGCGAGACAGAATCAATCCCTTAAGGTATGTTTTAAAAATGACGTATGTGCAAAGATCTCGAAGATCGTTCGGTATTCAGTTGTATTGGATTTTTCATTTAACAAATGGTTTGTTTACGCGCGGAAATAATGAATACTAAATTCATATTTTCATATCATAGAACCCCTCTATTACTTATTTACGTCATTTTACATTTAATGAAATGCCGTACATAGGGTTAATGGCTTCAACATTTGAATATATGCCTTAACAAGTTAAAAAGTAATCGTAAACGATTTACAAAAAGCGCATTTCCACTTGCATTCATTTCCCATTTGTAAGATGCATCTTCTGTTAAAATCGTAAAAATCCGGCCACAAATATGAAAGATGATAGCGTTGCAAATGTGCAATCCATTTTTGAGGTGCTGCTTCAATTTCACTTTATAAGAAGAATTTCATTTCAATGCTTTTCTAAATAAAACAGTTGGAACTGCGCATGCACAATTCTAAATTTTGAAACTAACGTTAGATTTTCCTTTGTTCCAAGCGCCTATGTATCAAATTTCATTTAAATGCTTCCATAGATAAAAAAGTTGGCACTGCGCATGCGCAAAATAACATTTTTCTTTATTCCAAGCACCTATGTATCAAATTTCATTTAAATGCTTCCATAAATAAAAAAAGTTGGCACTACGCATGAGCAAAACCAAATTTTGAAACTGGCGTTAGATTTTCCTTTATTCCAAGTGCCTATGTATCAAATTTCGTATAAATTCTTCCATAAATTAAAAAGTTGGCACTGCGCATGCGCAAAACCAAATTTTAAAACTGGCGTCCGATTTTCATTTATTCCAAGTGCCTATGTATCAAATTTCATTCAAATAAGTTTGCAGTTCGGTTTATAAATGGTCGAGATGCGAAAAGGGCACTGTGAATGTGGAATCGATTCGACTTAAGTTTTGTCATTGCGCATTATATGGCTAAAGCTATGCCCATATTGAATTACATGCAATTCAGTTCATAACTAACGGAGATGTCAAAGCGATCGGACATTTCTAAACAAAGTTATCGTTCACACGGACAGATAGATGGACAGACAGACAAAGGTACAGACGGACAGACCAACAGACAGACGACAGAGAGCAATACAAAATTAAGTGTAAAGTTATGGAACATGTAAAAAAAGGTCTTTTGGTTTTTTTACAATAACTTTTTTAGTAATAAACGTAGAAAAAATTCCTTCCTTGGTACCTCGACACCATAATGAACCAAATAGCGAAAAAAGTAGAACAATAGCTCTTAAGAACTAGTAGCGTCTCAACGAACGAGTGGATATTCTGACTATAATAAGCAAAAATAAATAAAAAGTGCGACTGGACATCGAAAGTAGGTATTTGCTTTTACAAAAGTTATAGCGATTTGATTGAAAGCTTTCAGGGGCGAAAATTAAAGCTGGAATCTTTGTTTTCTCTCAAATAAAAAGAAATATGGAGTGTGATATTTTCCCGCGGTTACTTAGCAAAGAGGAAAAAAAATCCTGAGTTCACGTTTTCCCGTTCAGTGTTTCCTGGGAAACCGTAGGGCTAAAAATTATGACGAGCTGACAGGATTTGGTTTTGCATCATCGGGTATAGAATGTCTTTAAAGATGCACAGGTTACATTTGCATTTAGATCAATTTAAAGGATAATATGGGAGCTTATTCGGAATCACAAGGACAACACTTTCATCAAGACATAATGGAATTTAAGCACGGTACCAAGGCCAGTACGCTGGAAGCATGATGGAAGAAACAGCAAAACTGTTCCATTTTTAAACATTTAGACTGTAAGACAAACAAATTATAAATGTAGGAACGTTACCTTTTAATAAATCATTCCTATTTAAGTAAGATTTTATATGTATTTTTATTTTTTTGGTTTTTTGCATTTTTTTCGCAAGATATCCCATGCGCAAAAATGCTGTAGACCGGTGTTATACAACAAAAAAAAAGGTTGCCACATTTAAAAAAATAAAGTATTTTCAACACAAATACTAAAAATAATGGGTTCAGTTCGTTAAGAATTTACTTTCTACAGGCGTACAAAATTCTAAAATTTCGAAAAAAAAATAATAATTAGAAAATTGTTCAATTATAGGTTTATGATCTCTTATACCAATTTTGCGTAGGTTTTAAGTGCGGGGATAACCAGAAGTTGTATAAATTTTTTTTTAAATTGGTGAAACAGCCTTATTGAATATCCCAAATGAACAATTGTACAACACTCTGTATATTTCGGTGAGCCGAAGAAAACTATTTTTTTTATTTCTAAGTAACAACAATCATTGATTTTGTGTGTATAATCAATGCAACAATCTAAGGGAGGTATTGTGCATTGGGGTAAGAAATAACCCCCCACCTTTTTGACGGGAATACACGTTTTGAAGCAACAGGAATCCGAATCAAACAAAATCACAATCATGTCGATCGGCCTGTCTGTCTGTACTCTTGTCCGGCTAAACGGCTTTAAACCAAATTTGGTACACATATTCTTAGACATAAAAGGACAAAATTGTGCATGAGCAGGTGTGAATAGTATCTGTGCTAGCCACAGCAAATTTTTTTTAGTATCCTATGTAACCCTTCCTCCAGCTCCACCAAAATCTAATAGAAATATATAGGTACTCCACTAGTGGAGAAGAGTGTCTTCATCAGTTTGTACCAAGCAGTTTCTGCCATATTTAAAATATAAGACAATGGATCTAAAGGCTCGGGTAAAGTTTAGCAGTGTATTAGAGATGTTCAAAATTTACAACACAATTCTGCGATCATCTTCAGTGGTTGAACGACTTTTTAGTACCGGGGGCAGCTGCTAACTCCTAAGTGGAACATATTATGAGACGCAAACTTTGACATTTTATCAATGCTTAAAAAAATAATTCTTATATAGACGTCTAAAAATTACATTAAAAAAATAAAATTTGTCTCATTAAAATTTTGAATGGAATAATAAAATAAATAATTTGTATAACTGAAAAGTATCTAGATACTCTGTGAAGGTAACTGTATCTGTAACTAGTTACTACAACCAAATCTGTAACTGTAACTAGTTACTAAAAATTATGTAACAGTTACAATGCCGGTAACCGTGATCTAAAATTCTATAATAGGTTATGAACAGGCTTTATAGTTAGCTTTTAAATTTGAAGCATTTCTTTAGGAGCAGGTGGAAGTGAGATTTCGAATTCCTTTTCGTACACAAAGCATATTTAAAGGTTGGATAGCGTTTACTGATCGAGCATACTTTTAGGTGGGATTTGAAGTAAGTCAGTCGATGGACACAAGGAACTCACCTCAACTGAATGACTTACAACTCGAACTAGGCAACATTCAGGTGCGATGCGATGGTGCTGGAACACTCGATTATATTATAGAGTTTGCTGTGAACGTAATTCCGAATTTACTAAGGTTTCAAATAATGGACGCTATCGAATCGCCCCTAAGAAGTAGAGTTCAAGAGATTTTGAGTCGGATTAACGTTGAAAAGACGATTCACGAAAACCTACCCGTGCTGGATCATCATCAGGAGACGGGTTTCAAGGGATTATTAATTTAAATATTTAAGAAAATTTCCTATAGTATTTATTTTGTATAAAATTAATAGTTCAGAAATGTACATTTTTCACGTGTTACAAAATATAATGAAATATAAATAGCGATAATAGGTACACTAATAAACTAAAACTTTTATGCTTACTACCTATATGGTAGACAGGAACGCAGGCAGGCTCAGGCTATAATGCGCTGAAAAACTATTTGTCCAGAAACTGAACATTAATAACATATTTTTGGAGGAAACATGTACCAGTATAGAATAATTTATACATTAAGGCAAATGGTTTCACATCGTACTATTTTCAAAACATCACATATCAACAAATCGTACAAATACTTTTATTAACTAGAATATCGCGGGTAATATAGAATTTCGTTTTTATCAAGAAAGCTGCTTGTTGAGAAAACAAGTCAAGTCAGTAAACCGGCACTATTGTTTATTGTTCTTAAATGGCTAATGAACACTATTTCTTGGGTGGGGTGAAAGGCCCTGTCAGCAACCACAATCAATATCACTATCTTTGGTAAATTAAACACTATTATTAATTACAACTAAACAAGTGGTAGCAATGTCTGTCGCTGAGATCGTCAGATCTGTGGCAAAAATACTGTAATAGGACGTGATATGTGATTAGCATTGCGTTGTCGTAGCTGTACCATTTGTAGGATGCCCGCTTACGTAACCATTCGCAGCTATAGAACCATCTTTTGAAGTAGGAAATGCGGGAAAATCGATGCGCGTGTCTGTACCAATTTCCAATTCAGACTCCCCTTCGGAGCTGCCAAGCGAAAAATCTTCATCTAAGTCTCTTACCATTTTTAAAGGTGTGGCCGGATCATCCTGAGACATCATTGAAGCGGTATATGAATTTCGAGCTTCAATACCAGCGGCACTGTGATAGAATGAAATCTGTGTGAAAGTTGGAGAAGCGTCATCCACTAGCTGTCCGGCCATCTCAAGAAATGTTGGCCTCGCCACTGGTTTGTGTTGCCAACAATATCTCATTAGGCTATACAACTTGTCAGGACAGTTCTCGGGGCATTCCATCACGCCGCCATCGATAACGTAGCGCAGCACTTGATCGTTCGACAAACCTTGGTAGGGTTGAGATGCCAACGTAGCCATTTCCCAAAGGACAACTCCGTAACTCCATACATCACTGCTACTAGTGAAGACGCCATCTTTTAAACTCTCCGGTGCCATCCACCGTACTGGCAATAGTCCTTTGGTTCCCTTACGATAATAATCAGTCTCATATATATCACGTGTCATCCCAAAATCACCAATTTTCACCGTAAGATCTTCGGCCACCATACAGTTACGAGCCGCCAAATCTCGATGGACAAATTTCTTAGCTGCCAAATACGCCATACCGTCGGCGATCTCTATCGCCATCTGTAATATACGCTTTAACGAAGGCGGCTGTCTGCCCGTGTAGGTATCCGCATCCGGCCTGTGCGATCGAAGATACGATTTCAAATCTCCATTCGCCATCAGTTCCATTATAACTAAGGTAGGTTGACCTTGTGATACGACACCGAGGAGTCTTACTACATGAGCAGTGTCGAATGCCTTCATGACGGAAGCTTCGTTCAAGAACTCTATTCTCTCCCTAATGTAATTATTAAAAATGATAAGACATACATCCAAATTTAGGTGTTAGAAAACATGATCTCAAACCATATGATCTTGATGTCCAAGAATATTCTTTTTTAACATCGTTTGTCCTGAGGAAAGACCCCAAGCCAAAAACAAATCTTCCCCATACTATGACTATGACCTATGTTAGTAAACCCATACATTCAACTATTTCTTGACCATTTTGTGGTTTACAACTTTAAAATCACAGGTGCCCTTTAAAATTAGTGTCTAAAAAAACATTCCCCATCGTAGGCATTCAAAATCCTTTTCAAGGGACAAGTGGCATTTTATTTTTAAAAAACGTAACCGTTATTCATCACCTTTTAAAAATAAACCTGCCTCACCAGCACTTTGTTTATGTGTTTTCAATGTAGAGGAGAAAAAATAAAAGTGAATTATCTATTTTTTTTAATTGAATAAAAACACTATAAGAAGTCTCACGCTGAGTTTACTGTTTGTGGCTGCAAAAGACTCTGCAACACTAAGCAGTGTGGGTGCAAGAAAGAACCTTAAGTCCCTTGCACAAAGTTGTGCAAATGTAAAGTGCATGAATGGCACAAGTGAGGATGATGTATAAAGAAAGTATTAATGTCCATTTAATCTTCTAAAGACATATCCTAAATACAAATGTTTTAAAGGATTTAAACGGGGTCTCAATCCCCTCAAACAGCACAGCATGTCCACCTAACTTTTTGAATTTTGGTGAATTTTCGTTAAAATATGGCCATTTAACGATGTTTTCATGCATCAAATTAATATTCACTTGAATCACATACATATGACCGAAATAGAAAAACACTTAAATTTGGCGCTCTTTTGAACGCCATCTCGTTGGAATTTCGAGTTGGCAAACGGCATTTTTGGATTCAGCGGTGTCGAATTAGGGGGGTTTTAACTCAATTGTTACATGAAATGCATCTTGCATTGAACAGAACTACTCCCTCCCAACATCAAACTACTCCCTCCCAACATGGGATATTTATCTTCACAAATAGATCCATGATTACAAAAGGCACTTGCTCACATGCATTTAAATTTAAAAAAAAACGATCTGTTTTGGTTTCCTATTAAAGAACCATGTTTCATGAATCCTTAGTGCTACTTCTCCGGTCAGCTGTCTCTTTATGTTTCTGCAGTGCTGTCACACATTAATTTTTTCTTAAAAACCAGTTTTAGTGAAGTGTAACAATGTAACATAGTCATAAAATGTAGGTAATAAACAATATACCTAACTGTGCATAAAATTGATTCCATTTCACAGCCCTAAAATTAAATCCATGAAATTTCATAATCATTTTATATTATTGCAAAATATTCAAGGTCGAAAAAATCAATGGTTTGAAATCTTTTATGACCACACATTCGTTTAGCTTTGATATTTCGGGAGCTAAAATGCAACTTACCTATTAGTGGCATGTTCATTAACAGTTTTGACAGCGCACTTCATCTCGGGGATACCACTGATGTCGCGCGCCAGGCCCTCATAGACCATTCCAAAGCTCCCCTGTCCAAGCTCTTTGATCAATTCGATCTTCTTCCTGGAGACCTCCCAATCGTCGGGTATATACACGGTGCTAACATATTCGGGATTAACTGACGCAATTAATTTAATACTTGGAACTGGAGGTCCGAATATTCTTCTAAATATATACAACCCCAAAAATCCCATCACCAACGCCTGAAACCAAACTTGAATAGTACAAACAAAAAATTGCCAACTCAACTAAAGTACCACTGCGACTGCCGCAAAAACATATAGAAATATTTGTACTGAAGTTATATTACTAGTTTCCTCAATGAGAAAATTGATATACGATGAATAATCCCCGCTTCCCGCTTGCGATATAGCCACCAATCGCAAGCTGTAGTTTCCTGGACTTAGCTTATTTAGGGTATACATCATTTTTTGGTTTAAAAATTGTTTCCTCGTAATACACTCCAAGGTAGGTTTTAGCTGCGCGAAAATCAATTGGTAAGTAATTGATCGATATTCGATATATACTTACATTTTCGACGTCCATTCTTTTGTATTCAATTTGATACGTCAAAATTAGGCCGTTGGGATTAACCGGTTCCTTCCACGCCAGTGTCACCATATTTAAACTTTGATTGGTCACACGGACATTTGTCACATTGTCTGCACCAGCTAGAAAAAGTACAATTATTAAGCTTTGAATCGCGTCAGTGTCAGTCAGTCGTTTGTGATCGCAAGGACGATAAAACAGAAATTATCAAAGTAGACGCTCGATAATACGGCATCCAAATTTTTTCCCCTATGAGGGCTTTGTATGAGATATGAAGCATTTTTTATATCCTACATGTACTATGGGGGATTTAGCGGGCGACCATAAATAAAATGCCGTTGCGTTATATGGAGTATATTTATAATATGTACAAAATGGTAGCCGAAATGCACGCGGCGAGCGCTATTGTCCGAGTGAGCGCGGGTCTTCTGGCTGATGGAGCGTGGCGCGAGGTTGAGCTGGCAAGGAGAGTGACCAGGCATTAGGTCACCGGACATTAGGACGCAGACAATACGACGCCGTCATTGGGCCGCAAACATTAGGACGCGGGCATTAGGACGCAGACACTTGGACGCGGACATTAGGACGCAAACATTAGGACGCGGACATTGGGACGCAGATATTGGGGCGCGGGCAATGGGACGCGGACATTAGGACACAGGTCCTAGGCTAGGACTAGACGTTAGGGCGCATACACCGATTAAATAAGTAAATATCGGTTTAATTTGATTATACCTTTTATTGTCCTAACTGCGACCTAATCTCTGCATTGCAAGGATGATGCTTGCGTTCTAATGTCCGCGTCCTAATGTCTGCGTCCTATGCGGCGCAATGCCACAGCGCCGGCAAGGCGACTTGGTTCTGCAAGCAAAGAGCTGGTTGTTTCTTGACGCTACGCTCTCATCGACTGACCGTTTTGACCAATGAGGGTGCAGCATGTTTTAGTTTGCTGCCAGATGTGCATGCGGCGCGTTGCCACAGGGAAAATAAATTCTATCATATATTCCTACAGTAAAAGAGTACAAAAAGTCTGCACGCGGGTATCTACTAACCACTCTATGCAGCCAGGGCCAGCAAAAGCCAAAACATGTGTGGTTTCGCTGTTGACGTCAGGGCCCAAAATACACAAATTAACGTACGCTAACCGATTTTCAAATCAATATCTCTAACTAAGGAAAAAAGCGATTGAGTGAGAAAGTACATACCTTTCTTCTGAGTACGAGCCGTAACAATAGAAATATCACTACAGCTCTCCTTTTTATCGGACGGACCTTCCTTCTCCCGACAGGCCTGCACATGGATGTTATAAACGGTGAAATGGTGTAGCTTAGTTAAATATAATTCTGTTGTGCCATAGACGGGAAAGTTAAACGATACCCAAATATCTGTACCTAAAAATTCAAAAATGAACAATCTACTCCAATGTCTGTCCAAAATTACCATTCTCCGTCACATTTTGAATTGAATTATTCACAGAGGTTATCGGCTCATCGATGTTGGTTGGAAAATTTAAATTTTGATCTTCATAACCGATAATTTCACGCTTTCTTCTCTCAGACGAAGAGACATCCCTGCAAAAGTAAATTCATTACTTCGTTTAAAATACTAAAGTGAATGGCGCGTTACTTTTTAATATACACTTGATTGTGAAGCTCGTTTTCGAAATTAATTTGCGATATGATATCCTTTTCCTCTTTAATTTTCGGTCCGCCCGGTTTCATATCTTCGTCACATTGGCAAGTGTCATTTTTGTTAGACTTTGGTGTCGTTATCGTTAAGGGTGGTAACAACAGAGTTTGTTTCGAAGGGGTTGGCGCTTAAAGAGTGCAATTTAGTTTGTTTGCTATGAGAGTCGGTGATACTTACGATCGTGACAATAATTTCGATTATTGAGCAATTCTTCGTTGTTCATATCCCTATGTTGCTGTCCACTAACTAGGTAATATGTTACATTTCCGTGTGGATTCAAGGGCGGTTGCCATGTTATATACAAGGAACTACTACTATTTGTATTGATTTGCAAATTTAAGGGTTTGGAAGGCACTAAAAATTAAATGCCTGTGTTAATTTTTCAAATTTTCTAGATCTTATCGGCCTTGCATTGTTACAGTAGAAATTGTAGATCTAATGTACATTTTCTTGTAATACTATGATCTCCATGGATCATTTATGTATAAGAAAGATGTAGCAAGGTCATTAGTAATAGTGATTAATGCGTTAATATTGAGAATCAAGGGTGATTTTCTTACAAACCTAACACTCCCCTCATCTTGATCAGATTATTATGGTCGTATAAATAACTTACCATCTGGGTGTGTCCGAAAATAATAAATAGTACTTTGTGCTCCATTTCTCTCTGTTGCAATTGTGTAGGTCTTAACATAAAATGCATATTGTGTATATGGCTTCAATTGTGCCAACAGATGATGTAAAGGGGAATTATTGTCTTCCTGATTACCGACGTCATCAACGCGCCATCTGAAAAAATTTAAACGTCAGCGACTGCAAAAATTTGGTTTACATACCCATCCCCTCCGCACGCATCCCTTCCATCGTACAAAGTAATATTTTTGTATGGCGCTTCAATACTGTATACCACGTAACCCAATAGTTTCCGGTGATCGTCCATATGAAAGGGCAACCATTCCAAAATAACAGCTCTGCTATTAATTATTGTTATGCTCACTGACATATTGGCTACATTACCTGCACATAATAAAACACAAAATAAAAAAATGCCCTTGAAATTTGCAAAAAATGAAGAATGCCAAAAAATTCCTCTCTCAAAACCTAAATCATGCCACTTGGAAAACAGTAATCCAAATTCAACAGTTGTTTGAAACAGAATGACAGGTTATGTCCCCCTGAATACGAGACAAACAATGTAAGGAGGCCCCTTCTATTGCTTGCTCACCTACTTAGAGCAAAGGTAGAAGTATCAACTACAATAAAAATTAGGTATCAAAAGAGAAATCTTCAGTCCACCAATTAACGTTATAAGTCCTTAACCTTCTGAAATTCCAAAATGAATCATGGCTCTTTCAAGTAAATCATGAATAACCAAGTAGTTGACGAATTTTAAAAATAAGAGGCACACATTAAATGTATACAGCAAAAAAAGATAAAGAAGGCGTTGTATATGGTTTCATCAAAAACTGAAAAGAGATCGAGACAATCATTTTCGAGAAGCGTGGTAACAGACAGACGGACAAACATCGCAAAATTATTAGCTCGTTAATAATCGGAACGATTTTTCCTAGTCTATTTCGGCAGGGAATTAAGACTGCCACATGAGAACGTCCACAGTTCGGGTGCAAAATAGAAGAAGGTACTTACGCAATTCACGCTACTATGAACGACCCTCGAAATGCGTATATGGTTTGCAAATGGTATCTATAAAAAAAGCTTCAACCCACCACCCAAGTTGGAATTTTGCCCAAATTTGGAGGAGGAGGCGTGACCTACACGATTCGCGAATATTTCTCGAAAGGGGACAAAAATACAATTTCTCTCGATTAATTTTAGGGTTCAGGAGAAGCAAGGAACCCATTCGCGTGTGACTATCTCGCGAAGCTCGTTTTTAACCTACAACTCCAAAGGCTTCAAAAGAAAGATATTCGAATTTGTCTGCTGCGTTCTCATCAAAAAGTGTACCCAGCAGATGTCACTTGCGTCCTCTCAGGCAAAATGCGTCTCGCGTCTACACCCCTAATTCACGTTTCCGATCGACCTCCAAACTAACTTTGGTCGTCGAATCCCATAAAAACAATTTGTGATTGAGGAAATTAAAAAAAAGAAAATCTCTTTCAGCACCCTCGCTGCTCACCAACTCAACCAAGGTTTAAATTTTTCCCTAACTCTTCTTGTTCTTCCACAATGAATGTACTCGAACATCGAAAAATTCAAGCCAGGGCGTCATTCGCGGAGAATCTTTAGCACTTTTAAACAAATTGATACCCACATACCTTCATCCGTCCGTCTGACCCGAAAAAGAAAAAAAGTCAGGGACTCATACAACGCTGCTCTCTGAGCCACGGCAGCGTTCCTCTAGCTCTGACCGTTACAAAATTAGAGGCCTGTTTACCCGTAAACAACGAAGATGTTTTGCAATGTGGTTAATAAAATTCATGATATGCTAATGAATTGCTAATTTAATTTATGTAGTTAAAGGTGGATGTGTCAACTCCAGATCTATCCTTAATAAAGTTTTAAAAAACAACAAACGCATCTGGAGTAATTAAAACCAAACTAATGGAAGGAAAGAAATATGTAAAGCATGATAACCAACATTTTTTTCTAATATTTACTATTACTCACAAGCTATTTTGTCTCCGTTAGAATTGGGAGCCACTTCTAGTTCGCTAAATTCAGCTAAGTTGGCCTTTAGTCTTAAGGTTTCAATCTTTGAGTAACACAGTTTGGGGTTAAAGTGGAAAAATAACTTTCCATTTCCAATTTTTAGCGTACGATTTTCCCAGCTCCACAAGTCTTGGAGATTTTGATTATCAAGCACCACAAACACGTATCTGAAAAAAAAGTGTAATCGGATGTCGCAGACGGATCGTGTAACAATACTTTTGACTGTCTAAATTGTTGCCATGAATAACTTTTAAACTTTTGAGGAAGTTTAAGGAGACAAGTGGAAATGAGCGAACAATCTTGAGATATCCGTCAATTTCTTCAATCATGTTTAAATTTTCTTCTAATTCATTAACTATATGTCCTAAAATCATTGGGTAAAAAAGGGGGAATGTTGTTGCAATACACTTACTCCCGCCACGTATTTGAATTTCGAGGGAACCCTTAATATGTGTACAACCCCTGAGTTGTTGAGCAGATGCGAGACTATCTACATTTGTACTGGGACATTCTTTCTTGCATCTACCTATAAAATACGAATCTCTACATGTTCTGTCTAAATGAACACATCTTACCTTCACATGGTACACATCTGTGGTTATCGTGGTCATCCATGTAATTTGTTGGACAGTTAAGCACGCACGCACTTCGATAAATTTTGTAAGGATACTGATATTGAATTCTCCCATGCAGATCCATCGGTCGTTTTAGAGATTTGCACTCCTCTTCTTTAATACACCTCCTTCCAAGAAACTGCAACAATACCCATGTGTTTAATCCTTTTGAAAGCTACTTCATTACCTCATACAGATTGGATGGACATTGATCCCTACATTGCCGCCTGCGACCAACTTCCACTGTAAAATTACGACATACATCGCAAGCACCATTACTGCATCCACCTAAACATTTAGAATCACAACACTCCCCTTTATCATTACATGAGTGACAATGGCTCGGACACACTTTTTGACAATGCTGTCTATTCCAGCACAAATGCCTTCCTTCCGTAACACCTAACTTGCGCACAACACGAGGGCAAGCACTTATATTTAAATGACTTCCTTCTTCATCTTTATCGTCACCAGGACAAATAGGACATTCATTGTCTGGTTTAATACTTGCAATAAAGTGATCGCCTTTCTCGTACGCGATAAGTTCCCAGTCAATAGAATTTACAAAACACAGGGATGGATTTTTATCTATACGAATAAGTCCATGAGTGATGTCGGTCAACGAATATAAACCAATCTCTTGTAAACTGGACATTTCAAACACTACGAACGAATATCCAAAAAATGTTTTCTGCCCCCTGATCACCGCCAGATTTGGAAACAAGTGTCCTATACTTCGCAGTCCATTCACCCGATACAACATCAAGTAGTCTGTAATCTCCCTCAATTCTGGAAAAGTTATATTCGAAAAGAGCGACTCGTTTACGTTGTCAAATAGTAAAATTTGGACAAATCCTTCCACAACGGAACAACCTCGAAGCACATCAAATTGTCCGATTGTGTTGCGAATATCCACGCTGCGTTTGCAAACTGAAACAAAAAAAAAATAATTAACAATCAATCGCGCTAACAGAAATTTATAATTTTGAAATTTAACTACCTACTAAAAGTGGGTAGTTTAAATAACGCAGTTAACTGCTTTCAGGAACAACGTAAGTTGTAATAAAACGACTTAATCACTCAATTACATTCAGGTTTTGCAAACGTTAACTGCTTCTAATTGTTTCGCGGTATTGTGGTAAAAGTCAAACGCGAAAGTGTTCTAATATCCCACAAAACGGGAGTAAAATATTGGAGCATTAAAATTAATAGCACTTTCCAGTAAAAAGCAGATTAAGACATGGCCCGATAAAAGAACGTCACAGTTTATCGTACCTACTATTACCACAAGAAAACGTTTTCCACCCGCCAACCAGAAATAGATTTTGCATTTTGCAATAACTATTAATATGCATTATTAATGGACAAATCCCATTTAGAGATGTTCGGGCACTAATTATCATCATCATCTCTTTAATAACGGCAATACAATTTGTACACATATGCTTTAAGTTTTTAGAAATAATTTTCAAACTTGACGGTTTAGAGTGAACGAATAAATTCAAAATAGGAGTGTTTGGACACGAATTATGTGAAATATTGCTGTTCTACACACATCATCGCTTAAATTCCAATAGAGGATGCCGTACACAAAAGCCCTAAGCAACGATACGTTCAGTTTGATCGCAATTTTTACAACGATAAGTAAAATGTTTCTAATTTTGTGGGAAAATGTGCTAAAACATTTATTTTGAGCCAAAGTAAGGTGAGCAAATTAAATATATTCATTTTTGGTACGAATAAAGGTAGTGCGACAAATACTCGCCATCGCTTTTAGCACACAGGCTGTTTTAATAAAAAGTTATATTTAATCTCGAACCACAATTCAAACCCATGGAATTTCAGGAAAATTTTTGCAAGGCCCAAAATGACTCTGGAGCCATTTGATTTTTTTGTACCTTCGAAAGAAATCCAATGACTGGGCACAACCCAAAAGTTCATTTCTTTTTTAGGTATCGTGGGTTCGAATCCCAACACCAATAAACAAATATAAACTGTGCACAACTATTGTGCAGATAAAGGGCATTTTTTTTAACCGAAATAGCTTTTGTTTTGACATCACCCATGAATATATTTCTTGCAGACGTCTTAATCGCCCTTAGTGAGTACCCTCTTCCGACAATCCGTGCTCGAGGTATAAGGGAATATACCCGATCACGATAAGACGTCGAGGAGGAGGGCTATGGTTGGTAGAAATTAATTCCTTTCGTCGAGCACTTTCATTAGAGTACCATGAAGGATAAAACTAGTTCCACCCCCCCCCTCTCTCTCCCCCTCCACCCATTACTTTGATAAGAGGACAGAGAGAAGGGCAGTAGTTGGTAAAAAACCATTCCTTTCGTTGAGACCTTTAATTGGAATACAATAATAATGAGAGATTAATTAATTTTTAACCCCCCCCCCCCCCCCCTCAGGCCCCCTTCGCTCACTGATCTCGAAAAAGAGTCGCACGGGAAAGTTATAGTTTGTACAAACCAATTTATTTCGATGAAACCTTCCATTAGAATACCATGAAGGGTAGAACATATGTCCCCCCCTCCACCATTTTCTAAAGTTTAACTTGGCACCACTAAAGGCTGCGTATGCAAAATCTGAGACCGATTGGTTGTCGTATGTAAAAGTTATGCACGTTTTACTATCAAAAACAGCATCGCAGGAAATAATTTGTGGGGGGGGGGGGGGCCTTTTACACAGCAAAATTTAATGGCCGTCTGCCGTCTGGAAGGTATAGGTTACCTACTGCAAAAAATTTCAGGACTCTAGGACCATTCCCCTAGAAGTAGTTCAAAACGGTAGAGGTGGGTCCGGACGGACGGACGGACAAAGCGCAAACAATAGCACATTTTTTTCTTTCTTAAAAAATGCGCTAAAAACTTAGCAATCACCGATGACGTCAAAGTGTCGGGTTCCAATATCCCAGATGGCGATTCCAGCATCCAAGATGGCGGTTCCAGCATCCAAGATGGCGGTTCCAGCATCCAAGATGGTGGGTCCAGTATCCAAGATTTTGTGTCCAGCATCCTAGATGGGTCCAAGATGACGGACCTCCGAAATACCCCCGGGCCAACCTCCGAAATACCCCCGGGCCAACCTCCGAAATACCCCCGTGCCAACCTCCGAAATACCTTGGGCCCACTACCAAAGCCCCCCTCGGGCCAATTGCCAAAATTTAGCCCGGACCAACTGCCGAAATATTTTACCACGGTCCCCAATACCTCTACTTATAAAGGTCCAATCTCAGAAAACAAATCATCATATTGATCTTTCTACAGGTAATTCAATCAGTGGGTAACGGAAAAACCGATGAGGTAGTCACAAGCACAAAAAGTCACAAAAAAATAAGTGAAATCCCCCAGAAATTTGATAAATTTTCCAATAAATATAAAAACTGTTAGAGCCCTTGAAAAGCGCCTTCTGTGAAAATTTCAAAAAAATGTACCTGCCACTCTACGCAAATTTTCTGTGCCGGGTTTTCAATTCGCTTTTGTAAGAGCATCTTCAGTGAACATTTCATAAGATATGGTCAACAAATAAGTTATTTTTATTTTTTCAAACGTGCTTTCAATTTGCTTCTATAGGAAATTTTTAGAAAAATCAGCACATAAAGTTGAGTCTACGCATGCGCCATCTATTTTTCTAACACGTCTACATGATAAAAGCAAGTTTCATGTCTGTGAGTTTTAGGTAATCAAGGATCAAAATGAAAATGCGTGTAGGATTTATAAGTAAAAGGTTTACTAATAGGGATTAGGGTTATTGACGCCTCGTAGCTACGAGATCGCGCGTTTGTTGAATGGATATTGGCGCAAGTGAGGACAGATCCAAATTAAAGCAAGATAAAACAAGTCTGAAAAAATTGGTCACAATTCGGAGGTTTCTTTAGGAAATAGATACAGAATAATTTACAGCATGCTCAACAACTTTACGATCTCTCATTTACAGTTTGAATGCTAATAGTATTTACAAAAATCATACAGTTTTATAACGAACTTTTGCTGGACAAAATTCTTTCGTTGATGTGGAAACTTGGAGTTCTTAGAACTACGGGGTTGGTTGAATCCTGTTGAACTCTGAGGAAGTTAACAGGTGATTTCTTTGATGCATTCTTAAAAACCCGACGGGCTGAATAACTCCACTAATAGATCTTTGATGATGGTCGATTGAATTGCAGATTTCGGTTGTTGATCTTTCCGGTCAGTACAAAATTTGGGTTGTCAAAAGAAACGAGCACTAGCTTTTAAAGGTTTGTTCCTGAAATTTGTTTAAATGCTTAGGAAATCCTTTTAATAAACCTTTCACATTGATTAACTTCAATTTTAGGGGCACAAAAATGAATGTAAATATTATCTGACTTTGCCAACAGTTTTCTATATCGCAATTTCACTTTTACACGGGAGATTGCAGAATCTTTTTTTCTAATTTGTGGCAATGCGAAGAGCGCGGCAAAATGTTTGTGGAATTTGCTGAATAGCACTTTGATTATAAATAAGGACAAGATCGAATTGAATTACGCTTACGAGCTCTTAACCTTCTACGCGTAAAATTATGGTACATGCATGAACATGAAAACAATTCCTTTCTTATACACCATATCGAACAAGAGAGAGAGAAAAAAGAAAGATCTAGTAGCGACACAGCCGCAGGGACGGACGAAGTGGTCAACCGCGCATTTTTTATTTTTGTAGAAATGCGGTAAAAAGTAAAGATCAAAAACCACAAGGAATGTTGCACTATACGTTTACCTTGATGACACTTTCCGGTACATAGTGTTTTTAGAAAAGGGTATAGGTAAAGTGTTTGCAATAGTCCATTTTTTTTGTGCTCAAAGACTTTGGGGCAAGTTACCCCCAAACAGAGTCAAGTAGAAGCTGAAAATAACAATTTAAAGGCTATAAACATCTAGCATAAATTCACTGGGCTCGTTCAATCAAATTAGAGCGGCAGCCATTTTTTTTAGCACAAATGACCTGGTCTACGTCAATTATCCTTACGATTGAAGAAAATTCATTTCCTCGAGCTTTCATGAACGGATGTTTCGGGGTAAGTTTCAGTGGATGAGTTTTTCCAAAAGTATAATGAGGACAAAAATGAACGAAGTACTAGTGCATGCAGTTGATAAACCAAGAAAGAAGGTTTTTCAAGAGGGAAACAGAAAAAAATAAGACGGAGAATGTAAAGAAAAAGAAATGCATGAAAGTCAGAGTACTTATCCGCCCAACCCTTTTTGGGCGTTCAACGCATCTTTTCCAAAGAGATTCCTTAACGATTTGTGGGGAGCGTTCTAAAGAGAGCAGGTTTTGAAATCACGTTTCTTGTAAGGTGCCTTTGATACAATTTTTAAGAACGTTATTGTAGTTTTACAACAATTTTTGTTACGGCCACAAGAGTGCCAGTGTTTCTAGTTTTCCAGAAATCCCTTGATTTCTATGAAGCAGATAGAAATCGCTAATCTTCAAAAGAAAATCATAGAAGTTCCGCAATACATGTACACTTTTTTGTGTAATTGATTTTGAAAATCAATTGTTCTAAAATCGTTTCGAATAAAAGTTTTGATAAAAACTGTTCTCTAGATAGCGTTGTAAGATTGTGAAAATTCAAGATTTGCACGGTTTCAAAAAAGATGTGGTTTTCAAACAGATTTCTAAGAATATGAAGACCGTGGTGATAGTGAGTAGAACAAAGCGCAATTATGTGACTAATGACAGTTTATCTTCTTTACACATTCTTAGTTCAACGACGCAATTGATAACAACAAATCAATTACATTTTATTAGGCTGACCACTATTATCAAACAAAACTCCGAACTTCATGTGATTAACCGAAAAATAAATTTGATTTGCCTTTTAATGATCTACTGTACAGTCTTATTATTGTACCACGGATCATAAAAAATCGACTTGTCTTAGATCGATTAATATTTCTGAAAGAT